TCTGCCCTGCTGCCCTGTAGAGTTATGGCCATCCAATGAACAAGCTGAGCTTTGAAGTGCAGCTCTCCGAGGCTTTACACCCTACGGGAGATGTGCGTGGTGAAAAGACATCATGATGTACAGTACTGTGTCCATTTCGGGGAACATGCTGGATCTTTTAGGTGAGCTAGCCCAGTTCCAAAACACTAACTGTTCATCCAAATGAAGCTGGAAAATATTACTGCATAAAAAGACGACCCGTTCTGGTTAACAGGGCGGCAAATACCGACGCTTCGTCACGTCCTTCGACAAGGCACCCTTCAGCGTCTGTATGAGACGCATCGGGCTTTCACGTGTCAACCCAACCATTTAATAAAAAGCTATTGAGAACAAATCTATCACAAGAATTTCACATGTGTATTTGTCCAAAGCGACTTACATTACTGTTTTCAACCAGAGACACACAATGGGATCAATTTGGGGCTCCGTTTGGACCAAACCTGCCCCTATGATTAATGGTCGACCTGCTCCACTAAGCTCTGCTCTTCCATGTATATACTCACATACGTGGATCAGTTGTGGAGGGCGCACATCGGTATGCTGTTTATTTTGTTCTGTTTATGAGTTTTGTCCAAGAAGAGAGAACTCTCGGCACAAACCTTTAATTCAACCCACACTTAACTCAAATGCGCTTCATTGACTTGACATTGACAAAAAACAGCGTTGCCAGAGCAATTATGTTGGCTATAACACAATTATATTCATTATGCACGTACTACTTCCAGAATCTGAACTTTAACCAGGGCCAAACAAGAGCGGAGGGGTGGGGGGGGGGGGCCTTGTTTGATAGGGTCAGAGTAAATTTGCAGAACAAACCACAGAGAGACTGTGCACTCGGGTGCTGATGGGGCAGCCTCCTGCGCAAATAACGCAACGTAATTAGCGCTGCACTTGTGACCCTGGTGCCAAGGTTAGCGTGGCAGTTGGCCCAGGTTCGCAGCGCAATGTGCTTTGGCCAGGTGGCCCGGTGAGACTGGGCTGCTGCGAGGTTAGACTAGATTAGTTTTGGGGGTAGGCAGTGCAGGAAGGCTGGGCAAACAGTAGTGGTGTTTGTTCTGCTGATTGGCCTGGGACAAGTAGGGTGAAGATCACCGGATGTCAACATGGGGTGGGGGGTGGCATTTACAGTCCACTGTCACTCCCTCAATGTCACCTGTGTCACCAACAACACCCTCCCCTCGGTTAAAGACTGGACTGTTAGCTCACCCTGAAGCTGCAGGGCAATGAATCTTCTCTGTGTGGCCCACTCCAGCAGAATAATTTACGAAGTTACACTCTAAGGGGTATGATGCCTGTTTCATTTCCCCCCTAACCCCGACGGCTCTCTCAGCTCACACTGCCAACACCTCAACGCCTGGAAAGCTGACACTGTTTATTTCCCTCCACACAGTGTGTTTGCTCTGGCCACCAGGAGGGCCGCCATTCTAATCCGAGGAGGAAATTATTGAATGTTCCAGTGCTCAACTGAGAAGGCTTCAAATGCGTGCCCCCCCCCCCAGTACTGTTTGGGGGCCCTTGAGCGCAGGCCCCCGGGGACGCATTGTATAGACGACACCGCATTTCTCCCTCACACACTCTGATCTGAGTTATTAGCTCTGAGGCCGAGAGCGTGGTTTTGTGAAGAGGAGCTGTAATGAGAAAAACAGGTGAGCTATTTAACTAGAGCTTCACAGCTATTAAAGTGCCAACACACTGGGTCACCATGGCGATGAGTGAGTGAGGGAGTAGTCAGCATTTCTGTTTTTTGAGAGGGGTGGATGTTTGTTTTCTTGTCATTTATTTTTCAGGCCGTGAGTCTGTTTTGCAGAACTCATTCACTTCATTGAGTTTTCACAAGGAACAAGACATTTCTCAGCAGATGTGTTGCACAGATTATGAACACTGTTGCACAATTCCAAAGACCTCACTTCTAAGAAAAGGAAAGCCAGCACAGGTTGAGGCTGTAAGAAGCTCGCACTGTCACAGCTTGATATTCATAAATATTTTGATCATAATAACATCTGAAGTATTTTATACATTTTCAAATTTTCAACAAAACACAGATGAACCTTGCCAGTATTGAGACAATCCCTCTGCCCCGTGCTTAATGAAGTACTGTTCATGAGATGTTCTAGATGCAGCATTTTGAGAATGGCAGTTTTGGGAAGAGAAACTTAAATGATACATCATTGAGAATTAAGAGTGCTTAGCACCCAGCCTGAAGTTAGCATCTCTTGTACATTTAAATCAGGCTATGACGCTAACGATCATGCCACGCATAGACTAGTAGTCTCTATTTGTCTTTCTCTCATTGTCTGATCATCTGTGAAGTAGCAGCCATATTTCTGTCTCTAACAGAATGTTTTTTTTCTTATTATCATATATCCTATTGGATTCTTTCTTTTTTTGGGGCCATTTTGGCTTTATTATAGACATGATGTATAACTGGAAAGGGGAGAAAAAGACTGGAGGACAAGCAGCAACGTTCACGTGAGCGATTTAAAAAGAACGTGAGTTATCATGATACGTTTCTGGTGTGAACATTTAGCCACAGAGTTTTCCCACTGACAGATTTTTGACCCTTCGACGGGGCTGTTTCACATCTCCTCCAGCCAGACCCTTACATTGTTCCAACAGGATGTGATGCACTAATTATATTTACAAGTGCAAGGCCCAGACTCCACATTTACACCATGATAAACACACCTGCCGGCCGATGGCAGAACGTCCTCACTCTGTTTGTCAGTGGTAAGTCTGCCGGATGTTAAATCAATAAACTACCTCAACACAAATAGAAAAATAAGCCTGATGCAGTCCACAGACTCTTTTTGGCCCCCAAAATTTTCCGCTTGGCTGAATCTCATCTGAATGGTATTCAGTGCTGTTTTCTAGGGGTCAAGATCTCACGGTGAGTTTTCTAAACGTTATCCATTTGGTTACTTGAATACATAGTTACATGAATGGCTAATTCTATAGTTTGACCAAACAAACTTGTAGCTTTCTCTGGAGCTTTCAACCATATCTCATGAGCTTCACCAGTGAATCGAGTTTGCTCAGTTGTCCTGCAGAATTTTTTATTTTTTTTTTATACTTTAAAAAAAGTATAAAAGAAATGAAAATACTTAAATACTTTGTGTTTGTTTCCTTTGTTATCTGTAAAACAGTGAGGAGTGTCAGTAATGCTCATCTACACTTTCAAAGATATGAATATTTAATCATTTTAGTTATTACTTTTAATTTGTTCATGTCATGTAAATTAACGTGGTGTAACACTTATTGAAATAGCGCCTCAGCAGCGAGAGCCAGTTGATTGGTTGATGATGCTGCTCCACTTAAACCTTGTCCCTTTAATACTTTAACAGATTTATTTGGACTTGTTTGTAAGTCTGCTTGGTATGTGCAACATGTCCAGCCTGAATATGTAACAAATACAACAAACACATAGCTTAACAAATATCAGACTTTGTCTGGACAGTAAATGATTCAAATCTTTCTACAGCACAAAGCTATTGATTCCGACACAAACCATCAGAAACTCCTACATGAATAAATCCGTAAATAAATGAAGCCAACTAATACCACTAGGGGGACACTAGGGTCCCTGAGCACCTGAGTGCCACAAAGGTCACTTGCAGTTTGGTGATTGGCTCCATCGTTTGCCTTGGGGTAATTCAAAGTATTATAGGCAATACTTTTAAATATCCAAATACAATGCTACGATACAGTTATAAATTATATTTCATATTACTTTTATTAAATCATGTTCTTCAGGACAACCTGTTTCTTATGTAACCCAGGGTCTCTCGTGTGCATTTACATCAAACAAGTGTACAGTGCAGTACAGTGTGTAGACAGAGTCACCGCAACACCTGCGGCACCTGTAAGAGCAGTGACTCACGAAAGTGTTTGAACACACACACACTCACACACAGGGGGGCAATGGGACAGCTTTTCTCCCCGAGAATCCACTTGTCCAATTTAATTTTATAGCACTTTTGCTGAGTCCTAATAGGCAACATCTTTGATGTTGATTTGCGTCCCATTAATTCGGTCTCCAGAACAACTAGGGAGCCATTTGTGATTTACCGTGACCAAAATTCCCAAACCAGATATTCAGCCACAAGGTATGTCTGTGTAGATGTGGTGTCTCATAACTGGGTTGCTTCTTAATTATTTCCTAAGGGCTCCATTACTGGCACTAAAAATGACACGTGGAGAAGAAGAGTCTGTATGTTGTTGACTCCCTTCGCCTGTTTTCCACATCCAACCTGCACCCTTGGAGCAGCATCTGTGGACTGTTGAGAGAAACTACCCAGCCGTGACATTTAATGTCACCATCTTTACGTGTTTTACATGCTGCGTCATAGAGTCGGATAATGACAGTAACAGTCATCTGAAGAGGCCGAGTAACATTTTGAGATTGTTACAGTGCATGCAACTGTTCTATTTGACCGACTGTTTCCCCACTGATACTTCTGATTGACAATTTTAGTTGACTATATTTTCTAGGGATTGTCAGTCTCAATTACTATTGAATGGATTGTCATGACATTTTGTACATACATTCATGGTCCCCAAAGGATGAATCCTAATGACTTCCTGCAGTGCCACCATGAGGTTGACGTGTAAGTGAAGTGTCTCCACCATCGTTTTTGCATGTATGGCCATGAAAAGTTTTTATTTACTTCTACATGAAAAACCTTTGTCCTGTTACAGCAACAACAGCGATCCTCGGGTTTGGCTCAACTTGTACCAGCAGTCCATCCGTCATGCTGTTAGGCACAGCAGTAGTTTAATTAAGGCTGGGAATAAAGCTCACTTCTGAGGAATGACACTTGTAACATTCCTCCCTGATCCAGGTCATGGTGGTGAGCAGAGCGCTCCATCTGGACTGTCCTGAAGTGTTGACTATATTTATGGGGTGTTTGGTTAAACGTAGTCTTCTGATATGAATAGAAATATCCAAATCGGAGTGTGCTTTTGAGTCATCTATAAAGGTTAACACGAAAATAAATCAGGGACAGAGAGAGGTGATATGTCGGTGTTTGACTGACCCCTGTAACAGATTAAAGACCTCAATACGGAAAAATCAGGAATCAACCACAAAAGAACTGGAGAAGGTGGGAAAAGATGCTTTTTATGTATTGTATTTTTATGTTATGTATTGTTAAGAAATACATAAAGCTGTCACAGCAAGGCTTTTCTGTGGCGATGCATTTAAGGAAAAACGACACTTTCACAGATCCCAGAGTAGTTTCAAATGTACAGTAAATCACAAAAAAACAAAACAGCGCTCTCATCTGCATTACACATGAACAATAAATAATCACCGTTTGTTGGAATACACGTCCAAGAAAGTAGAAAAGGCATTTTGTCATAAATAATTAAATTGAAAATTAAATACATAAATAAATAATTAATACAACAGATGACAGATGTAACAAGCAGTACACTACTAGCCGTATTGCCATGTTTGGAAACAACACCTGACATGCTAAAACACATTGCACCGTTCTGCTTCTCACACCCATTGTCTCATTTACATGATCAAGGCTCTTTTTAACACATCGACTCACAGACTAATGAGCGGGAGTCCAAAAAACACTTCAGCGCTACATGCAGAAGTATGAGCCCTTTACAAAGTCCATTTAGTCTCATGCCAGTGTGCCCCCCCCATCACTCTCTCTCTCTGTGACAAGTGCCATCCAATTGGGCAAACAATGCCAACCCTCTTTCCCTCCCCAGCCGCAGAAACAATGGCTCTCAATTACCAGTCAACAATAAATTTGAATATTAAAAGCCACGGAGGACGAAGGAGTGGGGTGAAGTTGAGAAAAGCCTGAGGTGTGTGACCCGATGAGAAGTCTGCAGATGTCGATCAATCGGCTCTGTCATGCAGGGCCGGCTGCCTGTCTTTGACATGTAGAGAGAGTGTGAGAAGAGGGAGGAACAAACTTGAACCTCCTCCCCGCTGCCATCGCCACACTTGGGGTGCCCCATGTTCCTCGGTTAATCCCACTTTATCCAAGAGAGGCGGGCTGTCAGGTCTGGGAAACGGGAGCACGGGGACAGAGGGAGACAAAAGCAGGACAAACACATAAGTTTTGATACATTTGAATGACTGTTTAACAAGTCCTAGGTCTGTGTGTGTGGGGGGGGGGGGAGACTGGGGGCACACTTACTCCTGAAAAGCGCCATGAAGAGGCTTCAGAGCAGATTCCCACAGAATTAGTTAAGTGCAAGGAGTCCGTAAGAATACAGGTAATTGTGTTTTGGTGAAATGAGGCTTCATTGAGGATGAAACACGCCTGGGGATAAAATGTTCAACAAACACACAGCAAGCTGCTTAAAATGACATTTTCTTCATGTCGTTACACTGGGATCACCGTGAATAACAATCGATTATGTATGTTCATTGAAAACCGTTTGGTTTGAATTCACTATTAAAGATTTTTAACAAAGACGCAGACTAAAAAATTATTTTACATCGTGTTCATGGTGTAAATATGGCTGTGTCCTCTATATCATGGTACTCTGGCATATTTGGCTAATCAACATAAAATCAATTAATTAAAGCTTTTAAGATCAGGTATTTTATGTTTAGGTGTGTTTACAACATGCCTTATTTTAATGTATATATATGTATATATATATACACATATATATATACACATATATATATATGTGTATATATATATATGTATATATATATACACATATATATATATATGTATATATACATATATATATACATATACATATATATATATATATA